AATCCTCTATTTATGATGATAGAATCCAAGCTAGGACCACCATCCAAATTTAATTGTGTTAATTTTATATTGTAGTTGATTGATTAAAAAAGTAAGACCCTTAATTATGGTAAGCAAGTAGGCCACCATTGTATCAACCGAGGGTTAAGTATAATAATTAACAATAATCAACATGATTAGACATTGGCTAAATTTTAACAAAGAAACAATCATAGGCCATTTAATAATTATATATTTGATGTGTAATATTTCAATTTGTTTGTTATTAAGTTGTCGTATACAATAATTTTTTCTTTGCCAATAAATGATAATTACCTGTTTTTATTTATTTATTTATTTATTTTTATTAAATGGTAACTTGAAAACCGGTGAATTTCATTCTTGCATTGGAAAGTTAACATTATGATTTGGAAAGCTTATCTTGGAAGCATACCAACTAGATCAAATTTGTCTTTTCGTGATGTGGATATCCTTTCTATCCTTTGTCCTATTTGTACTATGATGGTGGAGTACGGTGGAGCAGTTAGATCATTTCTTTCTGGGGATAATGACTTAGGAGGGTAATAAGGTTTTCAGTTTGTCCGTATTAGGTTACTAAGGTTTTTTTTGTGCGTATTAGACCAATATGGTTGTTATTACTGTTTAGAAATAGTCCTTTTACCGGTTAAAACCGGTAAAAGGACTATTTCTAAACAGTAATAACAACCATATTGGTCTAATACGCACAAAAAAAACCTTAGTGACCTAATACGGACAAACTGGAAACCTTATTACCCTCCTAAGTCATTAACCCTAATTATTTAGAAAACATGCTTACTAATCAATGTGACTGATTTGTTTGACTGAAAATAATTGCTTCTATTTAAACTTATTTCACAACCCTTCCAGAACTTCTAAGTCCAAAAACTCATATGATTGATGATCTTCATTACATTAATATGCAACATTTTATCAATAACTTCTTTTTTATCATTTAAATGTTTACATGAATACATCAATATGTACAAAAACAATCTCACTTTGATACCTCCCATCAATGTCTACATTTGATAACGAATGGAAATGTAAAACCAATATGGACTTGCAGAGGATGTCTATTATCAATTATTTTATAAAAAGCAAAACCACAACATGAACTAAGAAACTGAAGTTGCAAAATGAATAAAAAAAACCAGCACATAAACAAACATATACATACTATCTACAACACATAAACGGAAGTTTATAAAACATGAAACTTAATGACAGGAAAAGTAAAAAACTTAAAAGAGACTTTATAAAAAGAAATATCACCCTTACTTACCACAAATGGTTGAAGGCATCAACAAGAAAATCAATCTGACCATAGAATCCACATGTTGTCTAATCATGACTTCAGTAGATGAAGTACTGAAACGTAAGAATTGCAATTGAACTCTATTAGCATTTGAAAAGAAAATTAGGGTTTTAGAGAAGACGATGAAGGGTTAAATTTTTTTTTGGACCATTTCTCAATTTGTGTGTGTCATCCTTCCTTGCGCAGGGTCATGCTAATCTTCTCTGTATCGTTCCAATTTTATCAGATGTCCCCAAAGGGACGACTATAGATGAAGAGTTTCACCATATAGAGGAGTAGTAGGTTATATGGGACGACGCGAGTTCTAAACGAAGTAGTTTACTGTTGATGGTCATATATTCTCAATATCTTTAAAATTAAGGTTAATGACTTAGGATGATAATAAGGTTTACAGTTTGTCTGTATTAAATCACTAAAGTTTTTTTTGTGCGTATTAGACCAATATTGTTGTTATTACCGTTTAGAAATAGTCATTTTTACTGGTTAAAACCGGTAAAAAGGACTATTTTAAACGGTAATAATAACCATATTGGTCTAATACGCACAAAAAAAAAAAAAAAAAAAAAAAAATCTTAGTGACGTAATACAGACAAACTGAAAACCTTATTACTCTCCTAAGTCATTATCCCTTTCTTTCTGAGATGCGAAGGTGCGATGAGAACTTGGTGTGTCGTTTTTAGATGGTTGAATATTCAACAAGTGGGGTTTACTTAGTTTCACAAATTAGGCTCCTGGATCACTGGGTTGAAGTTGATTGCTAAAAAAAATCTGGTGGATGCTATTGTTAGTATAACAATTTGATTTGGTGTATTTGAAAATATAAAAATACTATGATTTTTGCTGATAAGATGTTGAGATGAGACGATATATTTAATGTGTAAGAGATTTATCTTTTATGTAGTAGAACAACATAAGTAACCATTATCCCAGTAATTCGGTTTGTTGGCTTCAACACCCGTTGAATATTTTGTAATTGTGTTTTTTTTTGTTTAGCAACTTGCTAATGTCCTTTTAATATATAACTTTTTTAAACAAGGCTATATATATTTTTTATACTGTATGACCCTTCTAAAATATAAACTATCATGTATTACAAAATAACATTGTGTACGAATCAACTCATTTACGATAAATCATTTATTCGCAATAAGTAAAATACGGAATAAATAATTAAATCCTTCTATAAATACCATGTATGTTAACACTAAAAATACCAACCATACCAAAAAAATAAATAAATAAATAAAAATAAACAAAAAAAAAGACTTTTGAAGAAGAATGTATCCAAAAAAGTATTATATCCTGCGGTAAAAGAGAGTAATTTAATGGACGGGCAAGTTCTTTGAATGTAGTCTACAAAGCCCAATCTGTAAAGCAATCACATATTATTATTTTTACAACAAAATTATTTTTGTACACCTTCCTCAGGTTTACTTTTATATTATTTAATTACAATTTGTTTTTGAATATTCAATCAGTTCATGCAACTTGGATTCTCACGTGAAAATTCAATAATAATAATAATAATAATAATAAATAACAGTATGATTTTTTAACTACCATATTTATACATCGTTGGAAAAAATGCATATTTAATCTGAAAAAAAAATTAAAACAAGAAACAAATTGTAATTATATATAACAGTTTAGTCTAGAATGAAAAAAAATATATTTTTATATGAAAATAAATTATAAAACTACAACAGTTTAGTCTAGAATGGAATTACAAGTAAAGTACTACATTATTAAGGTCATAAACTATCATTCTCATGCATTTATTTTTTCTTACATATAAAGTTATAAACCATAGTCCATTATTTTGCACAAAAAATCTATATAATATTTTTTACAGTTTTTTGAGAAAATTGTAAAGTGTGATGTTTTTCCATAGGTTAATATCAAGTGCTTATTATTTGTATATGGCAAATAATATGTTTAAAATTATTCATTGTTGGTTACAAAATTTCGTTTATGTATATATATATATATATATATATATATATATATATATATATATATATATATATATATATATATATATATATATATATATTATATATCCAATTCATTATGGTTATGAACGAATGCAGGTATCCAACACATCAATCTTTTCTTTATTGGAACATGCTCTCATGGTCTATTTGAGAATCCAACACATTCCAACTCATGGTCTTCCAAGTTGCAACTATTCTTTTATTAATTTTTTTGGTTGTATAAATAATATTTAATTCTTATAAATCAATCAAGTGGCATACACATACATTTTTTTATGTACTTACAATCTATAAGCCCGAAGCTGTTTAGATCTTTCCAAGCCCAATAATGAGTTAGCGGGTGTTATCCATTTTCCCTAACCATTATTGCTTTAAACCATTTTTTATTTATTAATATAATTAGAGCCCCATATGATATCCTTTTTATTGGTCTAGTAAAAACTAATGTCCAGTTTAATAGATATCTTTTCAGATCCAAACATATTTTTCTGGTAGAATGGATCAGAAAGACTGTTTAATATGCATAAAAAAGGTCTTTCCGATAAGATATATCTTTTTCAAAAAACTCTAAAATCATATTTTTTTTAATAAGCTGGAAAGACAAATGTACCCAAACTTTGTCTCTTTTTTTGGATTATTAATTTCTTTTAAATAAAACTTTTTAATTTTTTATTGGATTATTATATATTAATAAATATTATTTTTAATATATAATATTTATGTATTAATTAATATTATTTTATTGAATTATTAACTTCTTTTAAATAATTCTTTTTTATGGATTAATTCTTTTATTGGATTATTATATATTAATAACTATTATTTATAAATATATAATATTTATATATAATAAATATTAATTTATTAGATTATTAATTTCTTTTAGTTAATTTTTTAATTCATTTTTATTGGATTAATTATTTTTTAGATAACACCACCATCATCCTAATATATTTAAAAAAAACCATCCATCCCACCACTATCAGACATAAACCGGGTCAAGAGTCACATATTGCGTTATAAAAAACAAATTAAAATTGTTAGAAAGAATAACAACGTGATATCAACTTTTAAAAAATAAACTAAAAACAACTTAATCGATATTTTATTTAAAAATTTAAATTATTATTGTATAATTTTGATTTTATATGACAATTTATATGTTTTTATAATTATTCAGCAAGTTATCCATCATATTATAGAACAGTAGGATAATATTGTTATTTTTCATCATTCAACATATTCAATCAGATGCATAATCAAACAACATTATTTCTTTCACAGTCAGAAAACTTTCTCATACAACACTTTTGCGGACAGAAACTATAAAACGGGACCTAAGCTTGGCTCGATTAGATTCTGTTTGATATTATAATTAGAAGCTTCTGATTCGATATTCAATATTATAGCCTCTGAGACGTTTCTTACTGGGTCTGACTCAAATCTAACTGCAACCATTGAACAATCCATTATACTTTTAAATCAATTTTAAGATGATGTCCTTTTTTACTTTTATAACAATCCAACAAATATATTATACATTATGATCTGTTCTTGTATCATGCCATATTTAGATTTACTAAAGCATTGTATTTTTACCATTTTAATCTTCCAAAATAAGTGTTAATAAGGAAAAAAAATACGATAGAAAGAAATGAAAATATAATGGATTAATAGATGAAATAAAACTAGATATTTCCTTTTCAAAACAAATTCATTCAATCAACATTAAGAAATCATCATATAATGTGTACTAGGTAAAATTATAGACAACAGAACATACTTATGCTCACATTAAAAACATCAGAAACAGAAGATATTCAAGTTTTGACTGTTTTAAATTCAACGTAACAATCGCACCACAAATCTTATCTTTTTCAGTCGTACAATCCTTCTTGTTCCCATATATCCACAAGAAAATTTACCATTTCCTGATACAAAATTTATAAGAATGGAGTAAATTACATTATTGGTCCCTGAGTATGCTACAACTTTCAATAATGGTACCAAAAAGTATTATCTTTCAATGTCGGTCCTTATTTGAGGTTTTTCTAACGTTTTGATCCCTAAGTTTAGTTGTTCTTTCAATTTTGGACCACAAAAGTTTTCTCTTACAATTTTGGTCCTTACCTGAGGTTTTTGATCCCCAAGTTTAGTTGTTCTTTCAATTTTGGACCAAAAAAGTTTTCTCTTACAATTTTGGTCCTTACATGAGGTTTTTCTAATATTTTGAACCCTAAATTTAGTATATTTTTTCAATTTTGGATCCAAAAAGTTTTCTCTTACAAATTTTGTCCTTACCGGAGGTTTTTCTAACGTTTTCATCCCTAAGTTTAGTTGATTTCTTGAATTTTGGACCCAAAAAAGTTTTCTCTTGCAAATTTGATCCTTACTTGAGGTTTTTCTAACATTTTGATCCCTGTAAAAGTAAAATGACAATATTTTTGGAGCCAAAACTGCACAAATCAGCTCTATTCAGTGACCAGAATAGTAATTTTACGAAAGCAAGGACCAAAAATGTTACAAGAACCAAAATTACAAGAGAAACTTTTTGGGACCAAAATCGAAAAAAGAACCCAACAATACTCAGGGACAAAAAATATAATTCACTCTGAATGTTGATCTTCAAAAAATTAAGACTTACAGGTAGAGGAATGGGCCTTGCAAAAGGCTTGTTTGTCCCAAGCAAATTATCATAAGTAGCATTCCATCTAAACAACAAAAAAGTACACTCAGATCATGTCTTTTCCAAATTACCAAATTACCCTCAGAGCTTAACAAATTACCTAATCGCCCAGCTTATAACAGGTTCACGAGCTTTCTTATTCTTTTCAACTGCCTTTTCTCCAATCCACTGTTGTCTTGTCTGATTCCAAAGAAGAAAACCTGAAAAACCACAACAAGTTTATAAAAATGTCAGATCTTTTTTTACAGATTATAGTATGAAAATAATGAAATAATAATTAAAAAAAAAATACCATGGTTTATGAATTCTGAAGGATTGGTGGAAGAAGTGGATTGTGTATTATGATCCAGTGGGAGGTTGGTAGCTGATGTGGCAGTTATTTGAGAGTAATGTAGACTGCTATCCATATCATATGTACTGCTACTATAGAAATCTTCTAGAATACTAGGTTTCTTATTCTTATTATTATTATTATTAATATTATTATTATTATTTGTGTCTTGAGGTTTTCCTGTTGGATTATTATCTGTAGTCACAAATGACGGCTTAGTACAACATCCAAGACACCGTCTGTTCTGTTGCAAAGAAGGTTTACAACCATAAAAATGGTTAGCATAAATCAAATTTAATACTAACAAAAACATAAAAAAGAAAAACTTGACCAAAAATTAAGCATCTTACATGTATAAACCAACAAGGTAAAGAACGTAAAGAGACTATGATGATAAGAATTCACAAGAATATCAACAAACCCCCATTTTTACAGGTTGTTTCTTTCTCCAATATGTTTGTGTTCTCAAATGTTAAATATAATTGCAACATCATGAGAATCAGAATCAAAGTTACTTTTGGATTCATGCGTATAAATGATATTTCATTTGCTACTACAATTTGCAAAGAAATCAAAAGGTTTAGGTTTCATAAATGTAAGCAGGGAGTTTGTAAATAGACAATGTTATTTCAGTTACTCTTAGAACAGACATGGTATTTGATAGACTAACAGCGCAGTTTTGCAATCGATAGGTTTAATCGAACAAGATGAGAGTGTGAGAGAGAGAGAGAGAGGAACACTGACCCCATTAATTCGATAATTTTGCAAACGCAACTGGAAACTGATCTGAAAATTTGCATCTAAAGATCAACGAAACAGTACGTCAAATAATGAAAATGGATCGCGTGAAAGCCGAATCGAAAAAGGAGTGAGCACAGTGACCTGAAAAAATCACCACAAAACATGAAAAGGGAATTTTGAAACTGTAATCGGAGAATTAGTTTAAAATTGCGAGATTTTGGAGCTTCAATTTGCAAATTGAAAAGGAAAAGAGAGAGAAGGATCTGAAACTTACCGAAGAACATGATAGTTATTGGTTGATTTGATGAAGTGCGAGCTTTTGTGTATGGAGTATTATTCTCTTTGATTGCCAACGCCCCATGAAAGTTGAACCCATGTCCATTTGGGTTCTTTCCGGTTCGCTTTACAACTATCCGGTTTTCCTTAGCTTCAAAGTAATCGAAATGGGTCCGGTGCAACCTTTATTTTTCAAAGAGTAAATTAAAGTTTTGGTCCCTATAGTTGACACTCATATCTAGTTTTGGTCCAAATTTTGAAAATCTATATGAGTTGATATCATGGTTGTGAAATCCATAAATGTTGGTACTAGGTTACCGTCAACGACCGGCTATCCCAATCCCTACACTTGAACTCGTTGTTGGGTTCTATCAACTTTACTACTCACATCGTCCCTACAATATGCGCTACATGTTCGGACCACATATACCATCAATTAGAAACACGTATTTCCTTTATTATAATCCTTATGGAACCAACTGAGTCCCGAACTCGTACATCAACGATGTAATACATTGCATAGTTTTCAGATGAAATTATGAGAAGGATTTTCCATTATCTTAAATTAAAGCCACGTATCGATAGGGGTTGAAGGTGAGTTATAGGCAGTTCGAGGAGAAATGAATGATGACCGAGATGAATACATAGGAGATAAGGATGGTAAAGATGATAGTGGGATGGTGTTGTGTCGATAGAGATGGGTATGTTGGAACTGGGTTCAACGATGATAGGCAGTCTTCCTTAGATATGATAACGGTGACAAAGATATAGTGTTGGGGTGGGTTCTATTTCCCTCGGTTGTAAATATATGTGGAACCCATTATTATCTCTCCAAAAGAGTCATTGTGGAGAAAAGGGAGACTCCAACATATATAATCACTTATATTATTGTGTCGTACCGATGTAGGATACACTAACATTCCCCCTTAAAGTCAGAGGCTCGATGAGGATAAACATAGATATGCTGAGCCACGAGAGTGCGAGACGCCGATTCTGATACCATGTAAATATATGTGGAGTCCATGAATCCATGATTATCTCTCCAAAAGAGCCTCTATGGAGAGAAAGGGGACTCCAACATATATATAACAATTTATATTATCGTGTCGTACCGATATGTGATACCTTAAGATCGGTGGTGTAGCCGGTGACCAAAGTTGTAGGTTTCGACACCAGAGGTGATATAAGGGGAGTCCATTGTTGGAGTTGATAGGAATGGGAGAGATAAATAACAAGGGTGATGTAGAAATGGTTGATCGATGTGGTTGTTAGCGGTTTAGAGCTTTCTTTAAACTCTTATAGAAATAGTCCATAAAGTTAATAAATATGTTAATATAACAGAAAATACAAAAATACAAGTATAATGGTCGCTTTTATCTTTTTTCTTTACACGTTTTTAGTTATTTTCATTAAATAAATATTAAATATGGTCTGCACTCCTACCTCCTCCCCTCTCCATCTACGGTCACCATCCAAGAATAGTAAAAAGGGAACGTTTAGTTAAAGAGGTTCCCATCCTTTTTTATTATTGGGGTTTGATGACTCTTATTGGCGGAGCCAGTTGGGGGTTGTCAGCTTTCATCTCTTTGAAATAATGTAATATAGATCATATCTAAATGATAACTACTTAACTTTTCACTTCACCCAACATCATTTCACTTTAGCCAACATCAGTAAACATTTTAAACCCACAACTCTCTATATGTTTAAAGAGTAAATTCGACAAATGAACAAAATGTAGGGTAAGTTTGAAGAAAATGACCATAAAAATGAAGATTTCAGAAAATGACCACAGGTTCCGCAGATGGGGTTCTGCGGAACCATAAACACCTCTGCGGATCTTGGTTTTTTTTTCATTTTTTTTTCGTTTTATTTTTTTTTATTATTTTTTTTTATAAATATATATTTTTTAATCACATAAGGGATTATGTGATTATTATGTAATTTTTTTTTTGTTTTTTGTTTTTCTTATTTAATTACCCGTTTATAAAGCTGTGTGTTCAATAAAAATTATACAAATATTCTATGTTTTTTATAAAATTACATATACTGGTATTCTAAGTAATAAACATACTATAAGTAGGTTACAAAAGATACTTTAGAAAACATAAACATACAACCTTCATAATAAACACACTTTGAAATAAACTTCATTAAAGTCTCTGCGGATACTCTACAGCTCTGTGGAATCTTTGTTTTTTGTTTTTGTTTTTTTTTTTTTTTTTAATTTTTTTGTGTTCATTTTCATTTATTAATATTAATTTTTTTTAAATACACTAATACCTTATGTGATTATTATGTAAAAAAATTGACAAAAAAAAGTTAAAAATAATGAAATTTTTATATAATACGTTTGCTACTGATGTATGTTTTCCATGTATTTTTACTGTTTTGTATTTACAAATCACTCTCCACAAACACAATAAAAAAACAATTTCTACTGGTAATTGAAACTCACAAACTCACAAAAACCCATTAAAATACGTCTATAACTTCTATAACTAATCCGTAGAGGTGTACACAGATCCATAAAGATGTACACTGATCCGCACATGTGTATACTGATCTGCAGAGGTGTACACTGATCCACAGAGGTGTACACAGATCCGTAAAGAAGTACACTGATCTGCTGATAACAGTTCTGTGGCCTGATATTAAACATAAGTTCATTATTTTTAACCTCTTTTTGTCAATTTTTTACATAAAATATAAGGTATTAGTGTATTAAAAAAATTAATATTAATAAACGAAAACAAAAAAATAGTAAAAACGAAAAAATAAAAATTAAAAAACTCAAGATCCGTAGAGGTGTTTCGGTTCCTCAGAGGCAAATGTATTACATAAAACATTTCATTATTTTTAACATTTTTTTGTAGAATTTTTCACATAATAATCACATAAAGTATTAGTATATTTAAAAAAAATATATTAATAAACGAAAATGAACGCAAAAAAAAGAACGAAAAAACGAAAAAAAAAATTAAAAATCAAAAAACAAAGATTCCGCATAGTTGTAGAGGATCCCCAGAGCCTTCAATGAAGTTTATTTCAAAGTATGTTTATTATGAAGGTTGTATGTTTATGTTTTTTAAAGTATGTTTTGTAACCTACTTAAAGTATGTTTATTATTCAGAATACCGGTGTGTGTAATTTTATAAAAAACATAGTATATTTGTATAATTTTTATTAAACGCATAACTTTTATAAATGGGTAATTAAATAAGAATAATAAAAAGTGAAAACAATTTTTTTTACATAATAATCACATAATACCTTATGTGATTAAAAAAATATTAATAAACGAAAACAGAAAAACAAAAAAAACGAATAAAAAAATGAAAAAAAAACCAAGATCCGTAGAGGTGTTTCTGCGAAACCTGTGTTCATTTTCTGAAATATTTATTTTTGTGGTCATTTTCTTCAAACCCACCCTACATTTTGGTCAATTGGTGAATTTTCTCAAATCAAAATATTAATGATTACGATTACTCACACCCCTCTTATTAAAATCACACATATTTTGAAAATCGATGCAATACAATTATACTCGATCCCCATTATTAAAATTGACACAATACTACAGGGCGCTCTCCATTTAATATAAGGTTATTTTTATTTTTTTAGAGTAAATTACGTGAATGGTTTTTATGGTTTGGTAATATGCATATGTAGTCTTTAACTTCCTTTTTTAAACTCGGTGCAACACCTGATCTTTGAAGGTATTATTATTTTATTTAAAATTTAATTTCAAGATATGTTACCATACCATGGGCATAAGATAGTCCTTAAATTTTTAGCATATTCTTTTAGAATGAGGTAGACCAATATTCTTTTATAATGAGGAAGTGGTGATATTCTTCCCATGTCAACACATACAAGAGATATACTTGGAATCGAGTTCAAGAACAAATATATTCTACCAAGATGTGGTTAGAATCCAACCATGTGGTATGCATTCTGTAGCAATGTTGCTTGAAACAAAAATGGTAGGTAGAAATTAAGAGTAAACAAACCAAGAAAGAGATGATCATTCTTTCAGGAGCATTCTCATTGAGTATC